ATGTAGAATGTAGGTTCGATTTTTTTTTTATAGCATAAATAGTAAATACATAACTGCGTGACGCCAGTGGTTTTTGGCTGATTGTAATTGAGTTTTGGACACATCCAAGCTCTTTAAGAGTAAGTCGCAAGTTGCGCAATCATATTAGGACACCGGAAAAGCGCAGCAGTCTACTCAGCTCTGACACCTTCCTCCTGGTATGGCAGTCGGTTTTCCTTATTTCTTTTCCCTCCGAACATACACTTCCTACCTGCACCAAACAGACCACCATGTCTGTCTGTGCAAACTTCCGCGGACCCAGTCCTGTCCCCCGAGAGATCGTGACTAGTGCTGCCCAGCCGCCAGCGTTACTTCCCGTGGTCGGTGCAGCGTTCGGTCTCCACGTCGTCCCACCGTTCCACCAGCTATCGGAAAATTCCGTCATCCTGTCCTCCCGTCCCATGGTTTCATCTCCGTTTATCACCTGTCCTGTTCGCCTTTCTGCTGCATTTATGCATAATTTTCCGTCGTCTAACTGTCCCGTTGTCTTATGTATTGTTGTTGCTCGTCCTGACAAGCCATTATTATACCGTATACGTTCCATTTAGATGCCGTTCCTGACTCCCTATCCTCCGTGACCAATCGTCACGATTCCCGTCCTAACTTCAGTCCCGACTTCCATCCCATTCAGGTGCCGTCTCTATCGTTTTGGCTTCTGTTCCTTCTCCAGCCACTCTCCCGTCTCCACTCGATTCTGTCCCATGCAGGTGCTGTCCCTATCGCTTTGGCTTCCTACCGTCCAGTCTCGCGTCCCGTCTCCCGTCACCGTTCCGTCTCCGTCTCCACTCGATTCTGTCCCATGCAGGTGCTGTCCCTATCGCTTAGGCTTCCTCCCGTGCCGTCTCTCGTCTCTTCTCCAGTCCCCTGCCGCCTCTACCCGACTCCGTCCCATCCAGGTGCCGTCCGCTGCTCCGATGGTCGATTGTCATTGCCCTAATACAATAGCGCATATATCGAATAAACAAAGCGGCAATCGCCGGCCCGCAGCCGGACGGGGTGCCCCGGGGGCTTGTTTTTCCGCGGCCGCCGCGGCCCGAGGCCGATTCGATAAGGCAAGAGTCTTACTCCTCCTACTCTCTGTCCCTCTCCCCCTCCTCTCTCATATACTAAACTCCTACGTCAAGAGGGTATGGATCAATGTAGCCGGTTGTCGCCGAGATGTGTGCTTGTTCAGTTGGCAATAATCGACTTAAGGAGGGGGATCAAAAGCTGTTCTCCAGCGAAGTAGCAAAGTACTGTTTTGAAGCTGTGCCTGTGTTCATAATTATTTTGCTATTGATCTAGCTCCTAGTCGCACAAACATATACAGTTAATTGATAATTAGGTACACTAAAAAATTAACGTTCTGAACACGGGTGATGGTGGCTTGGGAATGGGAAAAAACCGGCGCAATAAAGTAGACCAACTTTGTTCGTTGGAAGCTGAAACGAAACACAATAATGATGTAGGCACGCCAAAAGCAGTCGGTTTTATGAACACAATAAAAAGGTCTATTCAGCTAAATTGAGGGCGCAAATCATACAGCGGAGTGAAGTGTTTACACAAAGGTCGCGTGGTCCCGGCCGTCGCTCACAAGTTAGGGCCAAGTTTGCTTTGAAAGGCGCTCAGGTAAGTTGCGAAAACACGCACAGTGCCGCTCTCGGCGGAAGTTGGTGCCGTTTGAGGAATGAAGCGCTCGCTGAGCCGGGTGTGCCGGCGCCACCGTGATCAATGGTCGCCGCAGGTGCGCCAAAGTAGCCTGAGATCGCAGCGGGCGGCGCGAACCGGCCGGCCTCCGCGCCAGCCACCGGCAGCGCATCGTTTGATCACAGCACCGTTCGCATCCCGCAGTTGGCTCACAATGCAAATACAAACTGAACCGTTCAATATTTCAGGCCCCGGTGATTGAATTTGACGGTCACAGCGACCGATATGCCCGCGTTGGCTGCTGTCATATTTCAGCAACTTTCATTGGCCGCCTCTCATCGCGTGCATGTCCCGTGCAATCAACGGGGATCGTTTTTGAGCGAGTGCCTGCATCTGTCACGGTGACACCCCGCTCGCCGTCCGTTCCCGAACATGGCCGCGCGGCCCTCAGCACGCGGTAAATATTCAGACGAGGACACGAGCCAATGGTGGGGGACGACGCGGCCATCAATGGTCCACATCTGCCCCCGTGCGGCGACAGAAGCGCCAGGCCGTGCCTCTCCGTGGTCCCAGTTAACTCGCGCTGATGCAAATGCAGATGTGGGACCTTCTGTGACGAAATCATTCATGTTACATGTATGTATGCATGTTGTACAAGCCAGCGATGTGTCATCGACGCCTTCCTACAAGACTTTGAATGAATAGCGATTACCGGCAATAAATTGGTTCATTTATTCGCCGTTGTAAAATTCAAACAAAGACGTGTTATCATTATATCGCAGCCAATTGGCTCGTTAGAATAGCTCCGTCGGGGCTCGTAATACCGATTAGCTCCGATCCACGCAGCGCTAGTGTCCCGGTCTCCGGATCATCAGTCGCCGGTATTCCGCCGGTCTCCGGCCTGGTGCCTGACCCGGACCCGGACCACCCTCTCAGCCAGGAGGGCCGTTACGGCTCCCCGCGGTGCCACCAGTACCGATTAACCACCGCATGTCTGATGCGCCGCGTCTACTCACCGCCCGCGGCCGATGACAAAGGCGTCACCGGGGAGACGGCCTCTCTGTTACCGGCCGTTGCCATGGTGATATTCGTTTGCAATGTCTCCGCCTCCTCCCAGTGGCAATATCGGTGCACTGGCGGCCGGCGTTCACCGCCTATACCGGCGCCGGTTTCCGCCCGGCCGCCGTCTCGGAGGTCCGTATTAGACGGTATCCAGCCGCGCTGGCGCTCTTTACCCATCCGCCGCGGCGGCGCGTACGAGTCCCCGGGCGCCGGTTGGAGACCGGCCTCGCCTGATGACTGTACACCGCCGCCGACATATTTCAATACAGCCGGCCGACGGCGGTCCCAAAGGACCGGCTGCAGCCGCGCTCCGCAGTTACAAGCGCCCGCCGCCGCCGCCGCCGCGACGACAAAGACGACGACGACGACGATGATGATGATGACAATGACGACGCGACGACGCACACAGCGCGGTCTCAGCCGCCAGTAACTGATTGTGTTCGCAGTGAGAAGTTCTGGGCAGAGCGGAGGAGAAGGTAGGGGAGAGTGGGGCACATTCGTGCAAAAAATGGATAAACCCATATATCTGTTCTTTGGTTAGTGCAATGGCAAAATTGTTGATTGTAGTATGGAAAGGAACTATTGCAGATAGTTTTCCTCTCTAAAAGTTATCCTCTAAAATTATTGCTTCCATTAGAAAAAATGACTTTTAATAACTATGAACATTTGCACGAAACTGCCCCACCTTTGGGGCACATTCGTTCAAGAGGTGGGGCACTTCCGTTCACCCTGCAAAGTTCGAGAAATTACCGGGCATTACCAGAAATTTACCAAAGGAAATTGGCAGGGGGTCATTTCACTTGATTCCTTTCGACAAGAATGCATTGCACAACATATGTAGAAAGAATGGGCTGGCCAACAAGAATGTGCCAACTGCCGGCCTCCGTGACCTCGCCAAGTTCGCGTGAATTGCTCGTCACGACGTCGCAAGCAGTCGAGACTGAGTCAGGCGAGCGTCATTAGAGAAACCTACTACAGATAAAGTCATAAATCGCAAAAACTAAAAAAAAATATGCACGAATGTGCCCCCAGGCAGTGCGTACACGAACCTGCCCCACAACGTTATTAGTAATATATTTCAAAATTTCTTTTTGAAAAAATGACACTCTTTCAACAAACAAGTTTGCAGCAGTTCCGTGAATAGAGTGAGCTTCTTCACCCCCAATTTTGAAAAGCTGAACCACATTTCCGAGTCAGGATCACGAAAATGGATAATATGAGAAAAGTTTGGAAAGCTCACGAATATTACAAATTTGCGTTTTTATCAAGCATGACAGCAGGTACAGTGTTGTCTTCTACGGTGAACGAAGGGCGGCAATGATAGACATATTTCCATAATTTACCTTGAGCTCGTGCAGTCACTCGTGTTCCCATAAACTGCTGAAAACGAATGTGCCCCATGCACGAATGTGCCCCACTCTCCCCTAGATCCGCTCCGAGGGGACAGGTGCAGGTGCGATGGAGACAGCGCCCTCGGCGACTGTCTCCGCTCGTAAAAAGACGCGACGCCGAACTTAACCGATGAATACAAATGCCCACTACTGGTGATCAGCTGATGTGGCAGGTACGGTGTCGGACGTAAAGCAATGGGACGGCCGGCGCCGCGGCCGTTCGGCTGCCGTTTTACTGCTGGCCGTGAGCGCTGGCCCTGCCAACCAGCGGCGCCGATCACAGCGGCCAGGGGCGACCTGTCAGCGGCGCCCCCGTGCCCGTTATGACCGTACTTTACGACCCACCATGACTGCGACAGTGCTCAACTTGCAGATGCCGCAAATGCGACCGTAACGTTGCAAATGGGATGCGGGGTGTCAGCGTGGGCCGTGGAGTTGGTGCCGGCCGCGGTGACGGCTCAGCGGCGGCTCGGCGCTTTCGGTCCCCCAGTCATCACTCACCAGAGGAAATTCACCGGTCCCCCGACATGGGGAATGCGTCAGCGCCAGCGCTACCTCCCCTAATCCGCCGACCATCTCATCAAACACTAGTTACGTTTGAAGCGGCCTGATCGGATCGGCCCGACTCAACTCGCCGGCGGGGAGCGGCGGCCGGTCGCTTTGTCGCGGAATCATCTATCGGCGCTCAGCGTCCCATCTGCGGCTGCGGCCCGCTCCCCCGTCTCATTAAACCATCCGGGGGGCGTGATAGAGGGGCGCTCCGTGCTCACACCTCTCTCCCCTCGGGTGATCCGTCTTCGGACCGGCGCGCTGCGGCGGGGTGCGCGCCCAGCCGCGACAGGGCCATGCCTGCCAACCGACCTCCCCTCTCACACTCAGCGCCGCTCGTCGGATGTAATATATATTCTCCGATCACGATCACATGAGCGCCGCGCCGCCATCGGTCACGGTCGTCACCAACAGATAAATAGAGCTCTCTCAGCGCCTCTCCGCCTGCAGAATCACCAACAACGCGCGGCCGCGAGCGAGAGTCGAGTACACCTCTCGCGCGCCGCTCCAAATCACAGCACAAGCCTCCACGGGCGCTAGGCGCCGCGCACGGAAGACGTTAGACTAGGACATATCCATCTCGCCGCCGTCACAGTCACCGGCGCCGTCACCGGCGGCCTCGGGGGCCGGCGCCGGATCGGGGGCAGACTCTGGTGACGGTGCCGGGGCCGGGGCGGAGGGTGGCACGGGCCGGGGCTCCCCCTCGGCGGGCCTCAGGACCACACTGCCCGGACCGACCCGCACGAACGTGGCCCCCTCCTCCCGCGTCCCGCCCGCCCCGGAGGAGGTGGCCGGGACCGCGGCGGGGGCGGGGGCGGGGGCGGAGCCGCCCAGCGTGTGTCCCTGCCCGGTGAAGGACGCCGTCGGCGGTACTGGCCTGTTCATCAGTCTGCCGGGCGTCACTCGGCGTGTGCCGCTGCTCAGCAGCTGGCCGATCCGGGCGGCCCCGGCGGCGGTCGGAGCCGGGGCGGGGGCGGCGGCGGGGGCGGCGGCGGCGCCCAGCACGCGCCGCTCCACCCCGGCCGTGACCGGGTGGTGGCCGCCCAGTGGCTCCAGACACAGCAGCAGACGGTCAGAGGCGGCGTCGTAGATGAACATCTGTCAACAGAGGAGGGAAAGGACCATCGCTGGAACACTTGAACTGTGCGGAAGCTCCGAACAAAATTTTTGGCTTCGAGCACACATACCTCCATTCCACAAAATACGTTTGTAACAGATATAACAGACAAAACTGAAAGAAACCAGCGTTGAAATAATCAGGAATTCATACGGTTAAAAAATAGCAATATTTCGATAAGTTTGTAACTAACAGAGTGCCAGTTCCATTCAGCCAACTCCTGACCTCCGAATCGGGAAGCCTCACCTTTCCGGGCAGAGCCTGCAGACTGATGTGTTTGCCGTCGGTGAGGCCGACGTCCCGCTCCGCCAGCCGGTAAAACAGACCTCCCTTGGCGAACAGGACGGGCATGGCCTGCACTTGCTGCCACAGCTCCGTGCCGGACAGCTGGGCGGCCAACACCAGCGCCTGGATACCGGCGTCCAGCTCCGAGGCCGGCACAGAGGGCAGCACCGGTCGGCCGGCAGAGGACGCTGCTGTAGCCGCGGCGGGGGCCGAGGCGGCCGGCGGGGGCGGCGGAGCGGCCGAGGGGTCGGCAGCCAGCTCCACCTGGATCCGCTCGCCGGACTGAAACAGGGGAATGTGGAAAATTTGACATACAACAGCTTTCATCTTTGAGCTCATCTAAAACAAAGACCGTAATCATACACGGCGAGACAAATGTACACAGTTTACTTTCCCGTCAAATTCAGGTGTATTTGATCCCACGCTTATTGGTTAGGCATGAATCATTTAATTTATCCCATATCCATGCGATCATGGACATCATAGAGTCTAATGCAGGCTATCACACGAGTCCCATCCCGCATTTTCACCCCGGCCTGCCTACTGACCTGGAAGGGCGCGAGCTCCTCCTCTGCGAGGGTGACCTGGCGGGGCGGGAACCCATGCAGTACGCGCCGGATGCGGCTCCGCTCCACGGCCAGCGCTGCCTCCACGTCTGTCAGGAACGCGCCATAGGTGGCCTCCGGCGGCAGTGTGAGGTCGGCCTGCTGACCCGAGGAGGCCACCACGCGGACCCGGCGTCCGGCCGGGGCGGGGGGCGGGGACGGCGCCGCCGCCGGGGAGGCGGGGGCCGCCGGCGGGCCGGGGGAGGAGCGGGGCGAGCCCTCCACCCGGCGCGGAGGCGGCACGGCGGCCGGCCGCAGCTCCTGGGACGGCTGCCGCTTCCGCTGCTGCTGGACGGGCGCGTTCCGCTCGATGCGTTCCTTCAGACGCCGCTCTGTCTCACTGACTCCCAGCTCCTCCTTATGAAGAGTCTGAGGAACATGGAACAAGAAATGAATGCTTTAGAAAACGTCCACGACTGGAGTGGCACAATATATTGTGGCAGCATCATAAAAATAGCACCAGGGCACTAATACAAACGATTATGTGTGGGCCAGAGAAAGTGCATTCACCATCACCGAAAATAAGTGCCTTTTTGGCAGCCGAATCAGCGAGTAATAACTAATAGCACATGCCGAATTTTTCATACACACATCTCAGTCCTAATTTGGAGCTCACACCAACGCAAGTAAAGCGTTATCCTCACCTTCATTCCCGTGAGTATGATCTTGCTGGATCCGTCCTCCTCCTTCGCGCCTCCGTCCTGCGCCTGAGCGCCAGCCCCGGCAGCCCCGGCGGCCTGGCAGGAGGTGGGCCGCTCCAGGGACTTGGTCTGCTCCAGGATCTGGTCCACCACCTGCTTCACCAGCGTCTCGATCCCGAACACACCTGAAGGAGTGGGGGATGGACACAGTTGACAATGTGTTGATCAGGGCTGCGGAGTCGGAGTCGGTCGGAGTCGACAGTTGTGACCGGAGTCGGAGTCGGAGTCGGAGTCGATTTTAGAAACCCGAGCCGGAGTCGGAGTCGGAGTCACCGAAAATCTGTCGACTCCGCAGCCCTTCTAGGTCTGCGGAGTCGGAGTCGGGAGTTGGAGTCGGTCGGAGTCGACAATTCTGCCCGGAGTCGGAGTCGGAGCTGGTTTTTCAAAGCCGGAGTCGGAGTCGGAGTCGGAGTCGCCGAAAATCCATCGACTCCGCAGCCCTGGTGTTGATATCCTACAGTGGGGGAGAAAAGAACACAAACGGAGGAAAACGCCAAAAGTTCAGTCTTCCAAAGTGAAGACTGAAGCCTGATCAACTAAACTATCTGACAACAAACGAATAAACATGGATAATCTTTCAAGGTTCAGCCATATAAAGCGACAGAAAGCATGAGATCATCGCCAAAGAGGAATATATTATGCACTTAACACCAGATGAGATAAGCTACACACAAGTAATTAACCACGAAACAAGCGATTGTCCGCCGTCTGATGCTCACCGGGAAAGTGTTTGACGATGATCTGGTTGGCCGTCTGGTAAACGTTCGAGTTGAGCGCCGGGTCCGACTCACCCTCGAACCAGGCCACCTTCTCTCCGATTACCCGGCTGCCCCAGCGCAGGGTGACCGGGAACTGGGGAACAGCGGGGAAGGAGCACGGGGTAACACATCGGCCGAACAGAGACGGGGGCACGCACTGGCACACAACACACAACATAATGGTGAGGAGCAACTGGTTCACAGCAAAAGCCGCTACAGGGTTAGGAACAGCCAGATGACAATTGATCAATGAAGACTGAAGGTCCATAGCCCACTTAAAAGTGTGCTTGCTGTAACGGACTATAGGCTGCGACCTTCGCACCAAACTGTTACGCCCATACCTGCGATTATAACTCGTTCCACCCAACTGCCAAAACCCAGCAGCACACGCCGCACAAGTCACTACAGATTGACAACACCAGTCACTGACCGGAACTTACTAACCACATGCTCCTTTCCCACTCTTTCCCGCACCAACCACGCCACAACCACACCCCTGACTGACCACCAGCGGCGGGCTGTCGTACTCCACTCCGTCCCACCAGTGTTTCTGTCCGCAGTGGCAGCGCGCGCCGTCCGCGGCGGCCGTGCGCGTCGGGTCGCCGTTCTTATAGCGCGGTACTCCGGTGGGTTCTACCGGTCGTACCGTACTGTGGAAGAGGGAGGGATAAAACATGTTCTGGTTGTGTGCGGGATATGTGGGTGGACTGACTCAGAGCCCAGAGGTAAAACAAAAGTAGTGTTTGAGGGTTGATGAACTCACAGCAGACGTTAACGACAAAGACGAGCAATACGATGCGTAGTATGAATATTGAACACACTATTGTCACCTGCTTTCTAGGGCATGTGGGACACAATCACACCGTCAGTAATTCATGATTCACGAGGTAACTGTTAGCTGGTATCTCCACCCCAGCTAGTAAGCGATGTCACGGAGCAGAACCTACCCGTGGCACCATGGACACGATGTGATTCCCTGATCCTCCTTCAGGACCAGTCGGTCCTCTTCCTCGTCATAACCGCACAGGATCCCCTGTAAAACACACAGCACGTCATAACTGCTGAACAATTAATGGCCGGATAGCATACGGACAATTTAAATGCAAGACTTTGGAACAAATCAGATACAAACATATTTTCATCACAAGAAAATGAGCTAGTAATTCGAACACTTCAATCCTATCACACAGTGGGATTCTTTCACTTGACACAATGCACAGCTGACAGGAATGGACAGCAGGGTGCCATCAAACCCATTGTCGAGAGACAATCTGACAAACAGCAAATTATGAGCAAACACACATACTGTGACAAATGCCAGCCCACTATCCGCACACCATCCGTCCCCTCGTATGTACCTGCAGCGGGAACCTGTAGAGCCGAGTGCTGGAGAGCTGGCCGTGCTGCTCGGTGGCCAGTCGGTGGAGGTACCCGCCGCGCCGCAGCCAGCCCGGCTCCAGCCGCTGCTCGAGCACGGCGTCACAGCGCAGACACCGGTAGAGCCGGTCCTCGGCCAGTGCCAGACGCACTTCGTCACACACGTGGGGTGGCGAGAAGCCCTGGACACCTGGGGGAGGGGGAGAACTAGTCACACACGTGGGGAGGAGAGAAGCCCTGCACGCCTGAGGGAGGGGGAGAACTAGTCACACACGTGGGGTGGCGAGAAGCCCTGGACACCTGGGGGAGGGGGAGAACTAGTCACACACGTGGGGTGGCGAGAAGCCCTGCACGCCTGGGGAGGATGGGAGGACTAGTCAATGTGAAGCGGGGAAACCCTGAACACCTGGGAGAGACAGCAGCTCGTCATAGTGAGGAGGGGAGAAACCCTGAATACCTGGAGAGCAGGGGACGACTCGTCACACACGTGGGGAGGAGAGAAGCCCTGCACGCCTGGGAGAGGGGAGAATTAGCCATATACGTGAGATGGGGAGAAGCCCTGCACGCCTGGGAGAGGGGGAGAGCTAGTCACACACGTGGGGTGGCGAGAAGCCCTGCACACCTGGGGAGGATGGGACGAGCTGTAGTCACAGACGAGATGTTAGGAGAAACCCTGCACGCCTGGGAGAGATAGCAGCTCGTCAAACACTTGGGGCGGCGAGAGACCCTGAACGTCTAGGAGGGATAGTGGATAATTCGTCAGCAGCCTGCGAAGGAGGGAACGATTAGTTACACACGTGGGGAGGGGAGAACCCTGAGCGTCTACAGCATTTTAGGCGCAATTTCAAAAAGTTAAAGACCAAATTCAAAACGTTCAAGTGCATTTTGAATGTAAACTTTTTGAGTTAAGTCTTTAAATTTTTGAAATTGCGCCTAAAAAGGTGTAGAGCAGGGAAAGACTAGTAAGATATGGAGAAGCCCTGCGCACCTAAAGGAGGGGATGCTGGCTAGCCGCAAGTGAGAGGCGAGGAGAAAACCCCGTAATGTGTGACCGCACCCAAAAAGCGGACATGAATTTTTCCCACTAACAAACAATGGAAGATTATCAAAATACAGCCAGCGGTGAAATAGCGACGCCGGATTGGCCTGGGTGTCACTGACCGACTCGTTTGAAGAGGTGCAGGTGCGCGTCGGCCACCAGCTCCGGGTGTACGCCGTTGTTCCTCACAAACAGCTCGTCCATGGCGGCCGTCAGACGCTGGATGTAGCCGTCCTGAAAGGTAGTTAACAATGGTATGTCAGAAAACGAGATTGTAGTACCAAAGTAGCAGGTTTTATACAGAGCTGACATAGTGTGCTAACTAAAATATGCATTGATATTGTATCAAAATATCAATGCATATTTTAGTTAGCGGCTGCAGGTGAAAGATGATATGTGGCTGCGTGGTGGTTAAAACTACGGCGCTGACCCACACAATCTCACGGCAAGCTCTCCGTTAATTTTGTGTCGTCAATACATCAGCTACATCTCATCCAATTTCTAGCAAGCCGAGGCGGTGAAATCACCAGTACCACCTACAACAACGCTGCCCTGACTCCAACTTCTCAGCCTCACCTGAAGCGACTTGTCACTGCCGATGGTACAGCAGCCGTCGGTGATGGTGAGGTACCGGTCCCTCAGGGACTGGTCCACGCCCCACACCTTAGGCAGCAGCGAGACGGGCAGGCGGGGCAGCTTCCCTGGGGAGGTGTGGCGATACTAAGTCTCGTTACAACCAGCTCTGGTCGTGAAAGTGGCAAATCGCTACTTTACACTTGAATTAGGTACTGCCATAGCCACGAATCATCAGAATCCCAAAAAAAAACTTTAGGTAAGTAACAAATTCGTTAAATGGATATTAGCTTTCAAGTTACGTTCCAGTCTTGACGAAGAGGACTCACTGTCTTTGACGGGCACCAGTGCGATGTAGTGATTCCGTCCAGCGCTACTCCAGGCCAGACAGAGGGGCGAGTTGAGCTGACGGGAGGCGCCGGAGCGGCACTGGTCCGGCGGCACCAGCGCCGGCAGGAACAGAGCTGGCAAACACCGATACGTACACAGTTAGTAGAGGCAGGGTGGTGAGCAGCAAGGCTGAACGATTATTTCAGCAAATACCTGTAAGTCTCATGAAGATGAGAAAATAAGAGAAATCGGTAATAAAAACCAGTATAACGCCTTATGGGGCGACTAACGGAGCGAGCGAGAGGGTGGGCCTTGCACGTGCGAAATTGCGAGGGGGTACCTCCAACTGACTTGTGTACGGCACCCTACTAACCGGTCTCTAGCGATTTGCCAAATTTGAGCACAATCGGCCCAGCCGTTCTCGAGATCTAGGAGCGGCACCCTGCACGTGCGCACGTGCAAAATGGGTCCCGACTGGCTTTTGCACGGCACCCTACTAACCGGTCCCTAACTGTGTACCAAATTTGAGCGCAATCGGTCCAGCCGTTCTCGAGATCTGGAAACGACCCCTGCACGTGCGCACGTGCAGCAGCACCCCAACTCTGGCACATGGATATGCAGTGCCTAGTGGGTGCCTACCTACATGCCAACTTTCAGCGCAATCGGCCAAGTAGTTACCGAAATATTGCAACAATTGCAAAACTGACACCTCTTCGTTTTGCACGTGGCACGTGCATAAGGGGTCACTCACATGCATCGGGAATAGTCCAATACTTGGTAGAAGGAATGAAGCTACCCTATAAAAATTACCGCGTGTAAATCGGTCAAGTGGTTGCTGAGATATAAGCCTCGCAAAAGCGTCCGCACGGCCGGTCGACCGGCCGGCCGGCCGCTCATACTCAGAAATATATATTAACACATGGTTTCCCGTGTGTAAATGGTTTTAACGCACGACGTGGATGGATTGGAGCACGAGTGTGTTAATGCACGAGTGAAACGAGTGCATTAACGCACGAGTGCTCCATTCCATCCACGAGTGCGTTAAAACCATTTATGCACGGAAACCATGTGTTAAACTAATTAATACATGCTTAACGGTGCGAATTTAAATGAAAATTAAACCTAGTCCATGCCACTAAAAGGGCCTTTTATGGGAATTCTAAGAATAAAGTCAATGACCCTTCCGAAAACTTCAGTCGAGAAAGTCATCACTGCACGCGCGTGCACCAATTTAAATTGGTGCACGGCTACCTTCGAATTAACGCACGGTTAATCTCCAGTGAACGCACCGTAAAGTATGTATTAATTTCCGTTATTCTACGTAAGACTCCGCTCGCTTCGCTCGCTCCGTAATAATCCCCTTCCAGCCTTTCCTCTACCACACGGCCAACTAATCGACCGGCCAGCCAGCCAACAACCCCACACTACCTCCAAATACCTCCAAATAATGCCCATCTGTCCGCCTCCCATCGTCTCACTGTCACTAACCGGCGTAGTCCCCGCTGCTCCTGAGGCCTGTGAAGCTGTCGAGCAGCACGATCGGCCGCCGGAGTACGTTAGCCAGGCCGAACACGTGTATGTTGCGCAGCCCGTGCGGCTGGCCGTCGGGAGGCACGTAGTCTGGATCACACTCGTCGACAATCAGCGGCCAGTCCTCGGCCGAGATGAACTCGCGAAACAGCTCCTGGGGACACGCCGGTGGGTCGGAGATGGTCGATGGAGGTTAGACGGAGTAGTGACTGCGAAGTCGGAGCTAGCGATTCGGATTGGTGAGTGTATGTTCAATGTTGGGAGTGGGAGGGAGACAGACTGGTGAATGCTGGGTAAAGCTAAGGGACTCGTGAAGTGGAGAGGACAGTGAGCCGTGATAAAGATCGGTACTTGTTCATTGTTGGCTTCACTTTATGAATATGATGATGGTCATGGGTTTTAAGGATACCGGACTGCATTGGTCATGCTTGGCTCCGCTTCAGTACATGTCATGGTGCCCTGTATGCATTGTTGCATATATGTAGGTAGTTGATATCGGGCGAGAAAACTATTGACTATCGGGCGGCTCCTTCCGCTGTAGATAGACGACAGGAAAACCAAATACCATGATTCACACAATCGTAGACACGATGAGCCCAGCCTCGACATTTTCCCCGCTCCTATGACCCAAAACCACAATTATTTCGCCAGCATATTTAACCGGTCCACGCCAGGCGATGACCCCATATTAAAAACAAGGTTATAATACTAACAAAGCCTCTTTTTTTTGGTTAACTAAGAATAACACGTTATCATCCATCCCAATTTTCCTTCAGCAGCCGCCCGGCCATCAGCCTCACCCGGTACTGGCCCATGTTGTCGGTGAAGTGCTGCTGCAGGTTCATTCTCAGCGGATGCCAGAACAGCTCGCGGCCTGTGAGCGCTCGGGACAGCGCGTGCACCAGACAGTGTCCGTCTCCGTCGGCGTGGATCGGCACCAGCCGCTCCTCGCCGTCATTGGCCTGCACACAGCACACACCGTCAAATGCAGCTGGTGGAGACTGGAGACACAGGTAGGTTAAAGGAAATAGTTCACATTTTAACATGGGTTTTGAACTGGAATAGCAGTTCCGTAGCTTGGGCTGAGACGAGCATAAATCAGGAGCTTTTACAGCCCAACGATCACCCTAGGCAAAGATATTCTATTTCTCGTCCCGAAAAAGGTGTCTTGCGTTGAGGATGTGTGCCTTGCATATATTCGCATCCAGTATGAAACGAGCATGGGTCCCGAAAATTCTTCAGAAACTAGAGAAATTATCTACGAGAACTCTAGAGAAATTCGCTCCAGTGAGGCGCTCCAGTAACAAAAGCACGAGCAGATCGCCCAAATGCCGGTGGCCGCGATAATTTCTCTAGTTTCTGAAGAATTTTCGGGACCCATGCTCTTTTCATACTGGATCGCGTGTGCCTTACAGAAACTGAAAAGTTCTTCCTATATCAAAAATATAGAAAATAATCTTTTGTTATAAAAAGGTTTTATTTTCTTTGCTGATCATTTTGAACATAAAAAATCACAAATCCATTGCAAAAAAAATAATTTCGTGAAAGTGAACTATAACAGCAAGACATTAGACAAGAGCACGCAAAGCACTGAGGGTGACACATAATTGAGAATGACAAGTGCATCGCTGAAATGCTGAATTCCAGCATCTCATCATACCCAGGGTATGATATGCACTTCCTATCCGCGATCATATCATGTGTCCGTGGCCAAAATGCGCACACACGGAGCTTGACGCATGAGAACATTCATACCGTTATGGTTACAAAGCCAAAATGCTAGCCAGGTTCGGCTCCAAGTCATCCACAAATCCCTTGCCAGACCACCGCCTGTGCCCAGCTGGTACGCACTTCTGCCACGGCCTGGAGGGTGTGCCGCAGGTAGGCGGCGCTGCCGGACGTGTCTCGGCCGTAGCCGGGCGTCTCCAGGTGCTCCTCACTCAGACGGAACGCGTACGGCGCCAGCACCGAGCACTGAAACTCGGCCTGGCCCGTGAGTTCGCGGAGCGGCCGCGCGCGCCCCGAACTCTTCTCGAGGCCGTGCGAGCTGAGCAGCGGCGACACCAGCTTACAGTGGTAGTTGGACGAGCCGAGCACCTTCACCTGAGGCGGACACAACGCGAGGTGTGCAGCGGTCAGCGGAGAGCGGGGAGCGAGTGGAGAGGAAGTGCTTTGGTTCCGTTTTATACAGAAGCGTCATTCATATAAGCACCAGTGTTAATAAGCTTAAAGTGAAAGAACCAGTCCAGCTTAAGTACATATCCAGTCCTCGCAAAATCATACGGAAATAGCGCTTGCTTCCAAATGAAACCCGTAATTTTCTCCCGCAGCCTGCAATTTGGGGCCATCAAACTATTTAGTGACCATAAAAGACTATGCATGCTTCAAGTCAGCACAGGTCGCACTACATCTACCACACACTACCCCTCCCCCCGGACCACGGCTCACCCCTGCCATCACCCCTTCTCCCTGTCCACTCACGTTCTCGGGTCCCCTGGCGGCGCCGGCGCCCCTGGCCGCCAGCCGGCGGTACGTCAACAGCGCCGCCGCCCTGATATCCTCCACCGGCGCGGCGGACTCCAGAGCCGAGCAGGCGTGCCTCTGGCCGCAGCCGGAGCACTCCACACTGCGCTCGTGCGCCGGAAAGAAGAGCACGCGCGCGCAGCCGGCGTCCGGGCACGCGCCGCGCATGAACGCCGACATATTGGCTGCTGCTGATACTGTTAATGGCAGCAGAGGCGATTGTGGTGAAGATAGCCAGCAGTGTGTTTAAAAGAACTGAGCTGCAAACAAAGGTATCATTTTTATTAATTCACAAGTTTTCAAGCTATTTGTGTACCAATATCAGCTTAAATACTAGTGGTAGTTTATGGTATTAAACATTGCTGAATAAACAGAAGGTTGTGCACAGTTAGGTAGGCATTAATTTATGCTATGAGATACTGTGCACAAAAAGAATGTAGTTCAAACGTGGAACACCTACCAATAAACAATATAAATGTCATTTGTAGTGCCTTATGTTGGAACTTGGAAGCCTTTGTAAACAGAATTAAATAAACTGTCATTTAACACCCCTATGAATCACTATAGCTGATTGCATGCTTAAAAGTAGTTGAAACTTCAATTAGATGCACTGCAATTTTCAATTTCCTCTGTCTTCTGATGTTGTAGCTGACCACAAGGCTTTACAGGGTAAACAGGAAAGCCTGATTGAAATAATAGGTATTAATAATTTCCTACAGAGCTTACACTTTCATGAATATCAATTAAAAACTTGGTAGGTACATAAATACATCTATGGCCATGGGCATTACTGTGCAACTGCTGAGTAGTGCTGGCACAGCAGTGCTGAAACAATGATGTAAATAACCACAAATGGGTTGCCCAGGGAATAAATAGCCTCTATAGGTATTTTTTTATAATTCCAGTTTTCAATTCAGAGGTTCAGAAATCAGACGTGGGAATTATAAATTTTGTGGTACCTAAAAACCACACAGCGTTGATTGCAAGACTAGTGTCAGTGTGGATCTCTGTTCTCTAGGCTGTCCAGGCTGGTTGGTGTCCAGACTGGAAAACATTCATGCACTATACAGGGCAGGATGCCTGCGAAAATCATGCCCCAAAATTTGGCGCAAGCAATTTTGTGCTGACATTTCTGCATGATTTCTGGCCAAAGTTGGGTGCCTATTTGTGCAAAAATTAAGGCAAAACCTTAGTAGGAGTAGAGTGGGAGTGGGAGTAACACCATAGTGGGAGTTAAGTGTTAAAGCTGCATTAATCTATTCTGTTCTAATCTATTCTAATCTATTCTAAAGCTGCACATTAATCTATTCTGATTCTATCTAAGGGCTTGATCTTGATCTAAGGGTTTACCACACATGTAAAAGCTAAGGCATGAGCGCATTTATAAAATTCTCAAATTTATTAACGCTAGTACAATGTTTAGAAAATCTACTGAGCTATAAACAAGTTATGAAGACATTGACCTCTATAATACCTAATGCTAATAAAGGTACTAATATATGTACCTACGGTACCTACGTACAAGGCCCTAAATACACCTAGGTATATAAAAACGCTATAACTACATACCAATATGATATGTACTAATAGTAGGTACGGTACCAATAGAGGTCAATGTTGGTTCTGTTGGGTCAATGCAAGTCAATTTATGAAGAATGTATTCACAGTGTATATAAATAAATGTATTCATCTATGGCTCGCGGCAGACATTGCGTGCGCTCGGCATCGGAAAATGAGGGATAATGATACGGGATTACCAGTAATATTTTTGTGTTGCAGCCTGCAGGGACCCCAGGGACCATCGATGCAATTAGCCAAATTCTAGATTGCTTTGCTTCACTAATGGCTTGACATATTTGTTGTGCACGGTGACAGCCCCAGCCCCCAAGATATAACGATATTGATATAACCGATGTCAGCTCAAACAACGAATGATCCCGATGATCCCGATGATCCCGGAAAATTTTCCCTGTTAGCCGGATGCCGAATGCACGCGAACTGAAATATTCTTGGAATTTTTGACATAAAACTTTACACGGAAAATGTTAAATTTCATTTAAAGGGACCCTCCCACCTTCAAAAAAGTTAATGAATTGGCATGAAAGTGATGTCGCTCGGTTCAGAAAGAGCAAAAACGAATATCTACCAAATTTCATCGAAAAATATTCACCGGTTTTCAAGATATTAGACTTTTACTTTTGTTTACTTTTCGGGATCTCCGCTGTTCCTAGCGACTTTATTTGAAAGTGCGGCATTTGTTGCGCGCAAAGCAGCATATACCACCGCGTGCTACCAAACGTTTTAGTAAAAGATTCAAAATCGTTAGATCTCCGCTGACGTCACAAATTCTAAGGGGGCATACCAATGCATTAGCCCAGGCTGGCACGGTCCGCCAACATCAAAACAACGGTGCGTCAGCTGATTATTGGTCCTCCGATTCAGGAGAAATTATTAACGCGGGAACGCCGGCGCTAAATAAAGGCGGTAGGATTCACGGCTTTGCATGATCGTGTGCAATATTTTTTTATAGTATCAAGCGAGGGGTATTGCTGGAGTTTTGCAAATAAATATTTTATTCTCAGTTTGGCTATGCGATCGTGAACACTTTATTTTCATAGATACGATATGAAATAGTATAAACAGGCCAACCCAAGGCTATGTAGGCCAACCTTAGACTTCGCATAGCCATGGACATTGCGTAGGAAGGTACTCGCCGATCGTACCACGATACCACGGGCAAGATATCAGACTTTTGGGAGTTTTGTGTCGCTGAAATGTATTTTAAGTGCTAAGAAGGAAAATAATTCAATTTAATGTCATGTACAATGGACATTTAGCCATTCCAAGCATATAGTTTGCCTGGCTTCGCCAACCAGATAGCCAGGTTTATTCCAAGAGCTTCTAAAGAGGTAGTGGATTTAATATCGTTTCTATTACATTTATTTGATAGTCCTACATATCAGTAAACCTGCCACGTTATCATTCTCGTCGAGCGATTACCGGCACATCGTACCAATTGGTACGATGTGCCGGTAATCGCTCGCCGAGGATGCCAATGCAGCGTCGAGCGTCCGATGGTTTACGATAGGAATTATAACAATAGTTTTAAACTAGCGCTTTTTAGAACCATGGTCCGAAATGGTAATTCAAAGAACCTCTTCCCCTTTCAACTCACCTGAAAAAGCTGCTTTCGTGTACCACCCAGCACCCGTTTCGTAGATATATCAAAATGATAACCGGAGGCGAAGATTATCTTTATGATACCACGATTTGTGGGGCTGACTAGTACCGACGGGGATCCCACAAACACGACGGTCACATTCATTAAGCATGATGTACGGCGTAAAGCACCACAACTCACCCCAAAAGCGCAACCTTCTGAGATATCTTATATTTAGTTTCAATGCTGGTACTGGTGCAGTTTCAATGCTGGTACTCTGCTCATTTCTGCTCAATAAAGTTATTTCTCGCTCAAATGCGCCTCACATTAATCGTGTGCTGTGCTCCACAATCATTGCGCCGCGCGCTCTTCCTTCTTATCGGCCCCCTTGAGATCGTATCCATCAATATCTATTTGCTTCAGTTCTAAGTTCTAATGACTTGTATTGTAGAGAAACAATTTTAGAGCGTTTAACAAAATAATTGCATAACCTATGAGCGATAGGAAAAGCCCAATCGTCCAACCCATAAAAAACATTGGGACACAAACAACTGGAAACTGATGGTAGTTGGTACTTTCGCGCATAGGCGGCGGAACGGGGAGGGCACCGGGGCACCGTGCCCCCCCTTTGATTTTGGCATTTTAACATGGGCTCTATGGGCGTTACATGGAAAGAATGGGACCAAAAGTCGGCAGTGCCCCCCCCCCTTCCCCAGTTGAGCTGGGCGCAGGTACTAAATAGCATCAAAGGAAATCCTATATTCATCTCGCCGCATTTAAGCGCACCAATCGAAAGACGACAGCGTGACCGCGCTGACAGGCAATCAACCTGGCCACATAAAACTAGCTAGTGCAAGGAAGATGTCTATATAAACCACTGGACCATGCAAAGCGTTCATGTAAATAAAATATGAGTAAAGATGACCCGTTTGAGGGCAGACTGGCCAAACAGTGACGTTACACGCGGATCTCAACACTGCACAACCCATTCATCAAAAAAGATCTCGTGGATCCCTATATACGTCATAACTAGCCCTAGTACGGGGGTATATAGCCATGGACGTAAATGGCCGGCTTAAGGCACAGGATCCCAATTGTCATCCCCATTACGTGGTCCCCAGAAGTCGCCAGGCCGAGAGCCAATGGCAGTTAAGCACATCTTACACGTGCCGACAAACGTGACACAATGAATCCAATAATGAGCCCGCCAATAAGCCTGCCTAATTCTGCATGTAGGCTGCTATTTACCACCACGGCGGAAGGCTAAAACGCATCCATACAGCTCAACATAGGTGTCAATTTCCGCCGGGTTGGGGGTGCTCAAGCTCTTTAAATTCCCCGCCGGCTCGGCTGGCTTGGCTTTGGAGCCCCAACAGACGGTGCGGGTCAAGGTCACCGCTGAGGCGGCGGCGGATTTGCTGCGCCCGGGCAGTGGGCACCCTCAATTCGGTGAAAATCGACACCCATGCAGCTCAACATGACAAAACGCTGCATACAAGCGCACGTCCTCGCATTTAATTGACGCATTTAACTGCGTCACTAACCTCGTACACTGTACAACACTGGTGAGATGACTGTCCGAAGGAAACTGCCGACTTTGGCTGGCAACATTCAGGGTTGGTGACTTATGTACTGAGTTCGGCTGGCTGACAGCGATGTGACTTCAGGACCGGTTGATGAACGGGCCATCCTAGCCCCATACTACAGGAGCCCAGCTGGTCTTGGCGAGCGGCGGCGACTGGACGAGGCTGGACCCCTACTACAGGAGCCCAGCTGGTGCTGACGAGCGGCGGTTACTGGACGAACGGGTCAGCCTGGACCCCTATTGCAGGAGTCCGGCTGGTCTTGGCGAGCGGCGACGACTGGACGAGGCTGGACTCCTACTGCAGGAGTCGAGCTGGTCCTGTCGAGGAAATAGTTCACCTTTAACATGGGATTTTAAACTGAGATAGCAGTCTGATAGAGCAGATTTGTGTATGCCCTATATTTGAACCGTTTGAGATATTCACCATTTATCAGTGAATATTGGTGCTTAAATTCATGTTCTAGTGCTCATTTACAGCAAGCAAAAACCTCTTCAACACACACAGTGGCCAATCAGCGATGAGAGCACTTACAGGAGCAGAATCCCTTGCAGCTGATAGGTTGTTCAGCAGTTAGTGTTCATAACTCTAATCATTAAAATAATGAAATCCCTTTAGAAGAAGTGTGTAATTCCAAGTTAGAATACATTTAAATTTTATTCATCACATTTTTAACACATCTTTTTGAATTTTATTAATCAAATTACTCACAGAAGGTGAACTATTTCTTTTAACACTTACCTTGCTTCAATGGTGACATGTAGCTCTTGCAGCAGAGAAGGCACAGCATTTGGCTGCAACTTCAAATATTGACTTGTTGCTATCAATTATTCAGTTTTGAAATGCATACAGGTACAGTGAATCTTGGGTTCTCCTGTAAGAATGCTGACCGCAGAAGCAGAAGTTCATCCAAAGCTTGTGCCTGAAAAAGGGCCAGGTTTAATATATGAGTGAAATGAAGACTTATAG